AACGAATCTGCTTTTGCGGGGTATCCGGGTTGACCTTCACCACGCGCGCACGTTGAAACTCAGGTAGAGTGGCAAAATTCTTTTCTGCCGCAGCCTCCGCACCAACGAAATTGGGGATACGATGACGGACCGGACGCGGAAATCTGGCCAAATCTTCATGCTTCTCAAGATAGTCCCAGACGCGCTGCCGGACGGCCCATTTCCAATCACCGTCTTCCTTGGCATTGGCATTATTTTCATCAGCTGGTGCGTCAGGGCAGTCATTCGTGTCTGCCTCCGACGTCATTTCGTTCGTTTTCTCTGGCGCAGGACTGGGACTGACAGGTGATGATAAAAAAAGGTCTCCTCTCTGCTGCTCGTCGTCCTGTCTTTTATTACCGACATTTTTCATTTTTGCATCGTCCTGACCCTGAGGGACCTTGTCCTTTTGCCACCTGCCTCTTCCTCTTGCCCTTCTCCAGCTTCTCGCGTCACCCGCTGCTTGTGCGTTAGACGGAAGTTCGGCTGAGATGTTCTTAAGAGGTTGCTCATCTCTTCGTTCGATGAATGAAGGCGCATGTGCGAAACTCTTGTTTGTTGTGGCAGTAGAGGCAGTGCGGGCACTAACATCATTGCTGCAACTGCAAAAATCAACTCGCTCACCCAGGTTTCGAGATGATGCCATCTCACGACCTGTAAAAGAGGAAGACGTGGAAAGATGAACCAAGGCATCAGCCAGTTCTCTCCCACTTCGAAATGCGGCACCAATGTTGTCACCCGCAAGCCAATCGCAGACAACTCCGAGATGAAAATCCGCATCGTAAAGATACGACACCAGACTTGGTGTGGTATTGCTAGAAGCAGGCAACCGATTCGCTGGCAGAGCGGCTCCCCACAGTTGAACGTGCTGAACTTCGAAGACAGTTTCTACGTCGTCTTTAATAGAAGCACTTCCGCTTTGGGCGCAAAAATCCAAAACTTTGGAGAAGGCGACGCATATTTCCTTCGAAACCAGAGCACGCACAGACGCGGGAATGTTTTCTTGTGCGCACTTGTGCTCATGCGCAAACTGCACTGTGGATAACAGTGTCCACATATCGCCACCTCTATTGACAAGACGAGAAGTTTCACCCTTCTTGATGTTCCCATCAAGTTGGTACTTATTCCTGTTGTTCGTCGCTGACGAAAGCACAGGGTGGTTCTGGATCTGAAAGTACCACGGTGGCTCTTGTTGACCACCATTCGAAGCCGGGGAAGATCTCCACTCCACGTTTTGCTTTACCTTCACAATAACGGAATACTGGGACACTATGTCGAGCTTCGCCTTGCTCGTCACGTCGTCCAAGGTCTTTCCTATGCCGCGTCCACTCTTGCTGAAGGCCTGTTTTTTTCCTTTGCTCTTACCGGTAGCTGTAAAGGTATCTTCACCTCCCACCTCTCGAGCGCCTCTGACAAATCGACAATTCAAGTACTTGGAGGCGATGAGAGAACTCTGCACCTCTTTAGCTGTTTCGATCAGGCGCGTGGCGCACTTGCCACAATGTGCCATGACTGAAATTAGAGGGAAGATTGCAGTTATTTTTCAATCTGCCAACCTTAACCTAGAGTGTGAGAGTGAGTGAGTCCTCGAAAGACGAGAATACGCATGCGGAACCACTAGTACGTGCTTCCTTGCTTTTGCCACCTGCAATTCCGATACTAAAGCTTACAATAGCATGGGCATCAGTGGAAGCAAGTGCATTATGTTAAGTCATGATGAAGAACTACCGCAACTAGTGAAGCGAAGGTGACAGTAGTCTTAAGAGATGCGAATACGTTTCTGTACGCCATCCTTCAGAGTCCTTTATCATCCAGCGTTTCGTAGGTGTGTCCCAGAAAATTTCGGAAACCCATGTATCTAAGCGCAGTTGAAACTCTTTACGATTCCTTTCTCCACACTTCTTCACAAGAAAGTCGACGAGGGAACCCACTCCTCGACTAGCGTTTGCAGGAACAAGGAGAGCACCACTTTTCCCTGGCGAAGTCGAACTTGACGAAGCGGTATTTTCGTCGACCTCTTTCTTGACGTCGTTTATTTCATGCTTTGGTCGGATTTCGGTTTCTCCACCAATTTTTGTTTTCGTGAAAAAACTGGAACGACTGTCTCCATCATCTCCATCTTGTTCGCTTATCCCTTTTTCTCTTTGGTATTCCAGAGTTGCGACTTCTTCATCCTGAACAATTCGTACGATGCCACTAGCAAGAAGCGGCTGCGCGTCCTCCTCAGCGAAGCCACGAAATATCTGACAAGCGTGATCGACAGTGACTGGTGAAGCGGAAGCCTTGTCTTTTAGGATTCGAGAACTGCATCGACCGCCGGCAGAACCCCTGCCCGTATCAAAAACCGTGCAACGTATTTGATTCGCACACAGGCCCTGAGCAAGCGCCAGACCAGAAACGCCGCCACCGATGATGGCAACGCTCACGTCCTTGCTCTCGGAATGAGGCTTGC